GTTTTTGTTCAACTTCTTTCTTTATGTTTCTGGGAACGCGAGTAATTGGTTATTTGCTTTGGGATAAATTGCGTTCCAAGGAGACACATACAGAGAGTACGTCGAATGGGAAATGACTCAATTCCCGCCCATGTGTTGCTATTTCAATTAACTTCTTCTCGTTCTTATTTTTCATTTTTTTATTGAATGAAGCAGCTCGAAAGTCTTCCTTTTTCGTGGTAACAGCCAACCAGTTGTGACGGTAATCTTAGAAGTGCGGCCACCAAATATTCTTCTCACCTTTCCGGATTGTGGACCGTGCTAAGACACAGGTATAAGCATTCGGCCCTTCGGTTGAAAAGAGACCGACCGCGCAGGGTGTGTCCTGTGCGGTGGGTGGCGCGCGCGTCAATATGGTTCAAAATCGCCGCATTTACCATCCATCTCTATTGGGAGGACGCAGCGACTACTCATCGCCGCATTTCACATTTGTTTTCGCGACAACGACGAACCGAAAGAAATGTGAGAGTGATTCCTCTGTGTCTTTTTTAATTTACTCTTTTTTTTACAACTTTTCTGTTTGTTTTCTTTTCCCTTTTTCGTTCGCCTTTTGTTGCTATTCCCACACGACCGTCGCGAACAAATGTGAATTATTCAACGTGCTTACTTATTGATAAATCGATACACGCGATTTCCAGTGTCTTGCATATGACCAAGATATGCAACATGACCCAACAACAGCAGAGCTGCACCAACGCGGCCCCCGTGCCACCACCGCAGCTGCCGCCTACACCCACAAAGATGACACCAAACCCTCCCAGCCAGTTCGCCCTTAAGAAGCTACTCCCAATTACTGCCTTCTTCATGGGATTTGCCACTGTTATGACTCTACTATTGATTTACATGGACAACAAAGGTAATAACAATATTAATTCTTCATATTAAACACTAATATTGGTTATTAAAGCTCTCAGGCACCATCAATTCAACGTTAACATGACCCAAGATTACGAATTGCTTGGTGTCAGCCAGGATAACCCAGAATTGATATCCGCAATCAAGCAATACTTCTTAAAACCAGGTGTAGAGCCACATCACAAACCCATCGAATACACAGCTGAATCTCCTTCTGAGCACATAGAGTATTTACTGAAAATATTAAATAATAAGGTAATGACATCACCCATATTATTTTTACTTTATTATTAATAATTAATTTGCAGATGAATGGGAACTTCGTTGAGGCTGGAGCTTATGGAGATGGGAAAACATCGGAAACTGAGTGGCTTGAGAAGAAATTATCTTGGAAAGGTCTGCTAGTCCAGCCTGATCCCAGACATTTCTTCAACCTGAAGAGACACAATCGCGCGAAATCTCAGGTGTTGCACGGCTGCTTGAGTCCAGCTCCATACCCCAAAGAAGTAACCTACCATCAGGAAGAAAGAGACGGGGTGAAAATCAATTCCATCCACTCCAAATTAATCGACGATACGGATTTATTTAATACGCGCGTCAAGTGTTTCCCTCTTTACTCGCTCCTTCTGGCCATGAACATGACCAAAGTCGATTACCTGAGTCTGGAAACCAGAGGCACGGAGCTGCAGGTCCTCGAGACCATACCTTTTGAACGTCTACGCATCGATATTATCGATGTACACCTGCTTGTGAACGATGGTGAAAAAAAAATCATCAAAGAGTTTTTAGCCACCAAGAATTACACGCTCATGCAGGTTTTCAACACGAGCAACATCTACAAGTTGAACATGCTTAAACCATAAGAATATTTTTTTAAATACAAATAATATTTATATATATTTACATATATAAAGTTAAAAAAAAAAACAGAAGACTGATCAATCGCATAAATCACAAACAAGCTTTAGAAGGAATTGAATACTAAGGAAATTACATTCCACCCAAAAGTAATATTGTTTTTACAAATGAATACTACTACTAAATAGAGAGTGCCTTTTTTAGTACGTTTTATATAATATACACCAATTATTTTTGTAGATTCACATTCCTCAATGTCTCTTATTTTTTTTGTTTTATATACAATTATTGTTATAGCCTAAACCAAACAATTTCTCTTTTTTTTTCTCTCACCTTATTTTTCTTGTACTTAAATTATTTCGAATATTTTTCTTCCCTTATATAATTAATATATTATTATTACATACATAGTTTAGCATTAGTTTGAAGAATTTTGAATAGAAAGAATAAATAAGAAAACTCGTTTTTTTATTAACCTTCCAGTGCTCGAAGATTATTTTTTTTTGTGGATTAATTTAAACAATATTTTAATATTACGTAAATTTAATAAATAAAATAAGTATAAATATGAGCGTATTTTGACATTCATTAGTAATGGAAAGAGCAAATTAAAATAATTTGTTTCCGCTTTTCTTGAGTAATAATTCACATAATTATTTTATGTTGCATAAACATGAAACTTCGGATTCAAGCATAGTTTTTTATTAATTGAAAACGAATATGACAAGATTTGTTACAAATATTTTCAAAATTATACTAAATTTTCGTTTTAATTTATTTGCAATTTAAGAAAAAAAACAAACAAATGTATAATTATCTGTAAAATAATAGAAAAAATGATGTGATTCATTGTATTAATTGTTCAGTAATACATTGTAATAATACAAATTGTACGAAATATATTTATAGATTAACAAAAAATATTAATGAAAAAAAAAGTAGACAATGAAAAGAAAACGCAATATTTAAAGATAGTTAATTATATTAACATATCTAAGTACTACATGTTTTACGTTTTCGAGTCAGACAGTCTGTTGCGAAGAAGGTGCTTCCTCAATCGAAAAAAAAAGAAATGGTTACATAGAAACACAACAAAAACTCCTTAAATGTCTTTCTCTCCCTTTTCTCTACGAATCATCATTACACATTCTTCATCTATCCCATATAAAAAAGTATTCAAAATAGTTAATTTTTTTGTATCCTCTTTCATGTTACACAATTTAATAATGGATTCATCTACGGGAGACTAGATATGATTTACATACTCACATTTACAAAAATATGACGATATTTGTGTGGGGGAAAGAAGGATGAAGGATTTACAAATGCACCCTAACCAAGCGCGACTTCTGCAATCAAAGTCTTCGCAAGGTAAATGACAAAGAGCTAGGATAATACAGTGCTGAAGGCAATGATGGCTATCGTGTAGAGGTTCCTCTCCAGCCAGAAGTCCACACTTTCTTGCTAGCCTCAGCCACCTAAAACACATACGAAATTGAAATGCAGTTGCAATTGAAACATAAGACAGATCATACCAATAGAGTCTGCACTCCACATCCAAACATAATAATGAGTAAACTGGAACTAATGTCTGTAGCGTTTATGCAACACGAAAATGGTAAACCGCATCGCTCAACACTGGGTAAAGTGCAGTTGAAATATTCAATGTATCCCTCAGAACTCAAACCGCAGCAGAACTAAAAAACAATCCCTATAATTTCATAGGAAGTGGAGGATGCTAAACCTATCCCCTGTTCAACAAAATCTATGTAATTTTACAGATCTGGATCATCCCGAAAAGCATATATATATCTCTGAAATTCTCTTCGAGCATCAATTGCATGGATTGTGCAAACACAAATCCTAATATTGCCACAATCATTTCCAATAAGAAAAATATCAGAAAACATAGAGACTACTAAAAGCATTAAAATAGTTATTTCATTATTTGTTTGTCTTCATTACCAATTTTAGAAGGCAGGTGTTCTCTAAGGGCTCCTACACACAGGAGGGTTTTGTTTGTCGCCAAACATCAAAACTTCTTCTTAAAAACCTCCACTCCCTTCATTTAGCTTGTGTCAAGCATAATTTCGCCAGCTACCGCTCCGTGGTCATATGTAGATATGTATTATAACAAGGGGCCACATCACAAAAAGACAATGTTCAAATCGGGACCCTGCGGTTCAGTACAATTGGATTGTGTGCTTGTATATAGGACCGCAACCAGATAGACAGCGTAAGTGACAAGTCTTGCAACCAATTATACCGAGAAAACCCTATTGCTAGGAGAGGCGCCAAATGTTTTTTAAGAAATTAATTTTTATACCATAATATCTTGAAATAAATAAAACGTGTCTATATTATTTAATCTATTAAAACAATAAAAGGTAAGGGAGGCGCGGACCTAGACCCCGGCAAAACTTTTGAACCGACGGCCTTGGTTCAAAAGTTTTGTTAATTTGGCGACACTAGCGCTAATGTCGCTTCAAACAGGTACTCTCAGCAATTGCGCGCGTATCAAAGCCTCTCCATGGACAGTTCCTCCGAAGTCTGCAGAACAGGTGGACAGATAAGGAGAAAACCTTTGCATGGCTGAGAAGCGCTGGACTCAAGGGTGAGACGGAGAGCCTCTTGGTGGCAGCTCAGGATCAGGCACTGAATACCCGTTACCATCAGAAGAAAATAATAGGCCTTGACGTTGACAGTAAGTGCAGAGTATGTAACAAGAATGACGAAACTGTCAGCCACATTATTGCGCCGACGGAGTACACGCACCGTCACAACAAGATTGCTACTTACCTGCACTGGTCAATAGTCAAAGAACTTGGCCAGCAAGTGCCTGAGCATTGGTACGATCACCAGCCTGCCCCGGTCGTAGAAAGGGAAGATGTAGTCGTAATGTACGATGAGGCTGTGATAACTGATCGGACCATAGGAGCTAACCGACCGGACATCATCATCCACAATAAGAGGGAAAAGCGCTGCACCTTAATCGACGTTTCCGTACCTGCTGACGCAAATATTGCTGCCAAGGAGGTCGAGAAAAGGTGCAAATATAAAGATCTTGAAATTGCGCGAATGTGGAACACAAAGACCAAAGTGGTTCAGGTCGTTGTTGGAGCTCTCGGTACACTCAAGATCGGATTCGAGAATTACCTGGAAGAGCTACCGTGTAGAGTTAACGCCGAGCAGGTGCAGAAGATCTCACTGCTGGGAACGGCCCCAAATCCTACGAAAGGTCCTATCTATCGGACAATAAATGCCCTAGGGTCCAGGTAGGGCCCCGGCAAAGAAGAGCAACTGGCTCTTTATTGGCCAAACATCAATACATAAGAAAGAAAAAAAGTACATTCTATACATAAATAAATTCTAACATAAAATAAAAATATATTAATAGACTGGCCAAAGGGCTAACGACTGAGGTCTTTCCGCCCATACTATCATATATTTATAAAAATCAATTATTATACTGTTGTATCCAACCTTTATTATTACAAATATTATTGTTAATATTAACGAACTAGAGACATCTATGGCGTCTCGTAGTCGCCTTATTATATAAACATCAAGAGTAGTATAAAACTAGAACTAGGACTAGCTTCTTCCTAGGACTAGGACTCACATGAGTCTCGGGCTAACTAGGACTAACTTAAAATATATAGTTCAAATGTTTATTTAAGTATATGATACAAGTTACATTATGGTTATATATGAGTAGTCATACTATTTAAGCCTTAGCTCTTTCAGCATGCTGTTTATGGGTTACAAGTTTAGTAATAACAAAAAAATACATGCACATTTTAGAAAAAATGGACACATTATAGTAAGTACATACATATTGAAAAATAGATACATATTTTAGGAACAGATTATAAAGATAGAATGACATTTTAAAGATGATACACATACAGAGGTAGTAAGGAGAAGGGTCGAAATGAATCCGGGGAAGTATGATCTTTTCCTGGTTTAGGGATCATGAGGATGTTGGCACGATTCCAGTCACCAGGAAAGTATCCAATTCGAAGGCAGGCGTTGTAGATGGAGAGCAGCCATTGGAGTGCAGTATCTGGAAGCTTTCTTATTATCCTCCACGTAATGTCGTCATTTCCAGGAGCGGAGTTCTTGTTGCAACACGACACAACATCAGTCAGTTCGTCGAAGGTATTGCACTCGGAGTCTGACATCTGATGAAAGCCACGGGGACGGCAAACCATTGTTTTGTCAACCTCTCTCCTAAATTCCTCATCGAAGAGGGGATCATCAAGTTGGGTTGAAGCTCGGAAGACTTTAGCGAAGATCTCTGCTTTTTCCAGCGCTGTGATTGGAGTCGGATCAGCTGGATAAGTGGGTAGTTGCAAGCAGGGCGCCTTGAGGTGAGACGACCGAACAGGGACCGTCTCTGTGGTCAAGGGAGCTGGTGACCTCAGTCCAGGATTTTTCTCGATGTTTAGAGTAAAGTAAAGTGGGATCGCCAATCCTTTTCTTGTTTCGGGAGACTGGAAGTCGATCTTGAGGACGATTATACATGCAGCTACGGTGTTTATGATGTTGTGTTCAGGTGGTAAATCAAGATTTCTGAAGGAAATTGAAAGATTCACAGCTATGGCGACTCCTCCAGAATGTGGTTCGCTGTGTTTGTGGTTTATCCGATGGGGAGGATCTTTAATGTGTTGCGTTGTGTTGTGAAGGTTTCTTGGATGGGGAGGACTCCAATTTTATCGTTTACAAAGAGATTGGACAGCAGCTCCTTCTTGTTTCGCCATCTGTTGATGTTGGCTGTTGCGATGTTTATTTTTGCCACGGTGAATCGGAGCTTTCGGGCGGCTGAGGCAGCTGAAACTGAAGGCCAGATGGTTTCTGTCGCAATTGGCGCATTTCGTCTCTGCTTTCTGCTCTTAACGACAGAAGTTGGTCGGGTGAGGGCCGGAACATAGGCCACAAGCTTGGTTTTTGGTGCATCTTACGTCCTGGCTGATGAGAGGCTTCTGCACGGAGAACCTCACCGTAGACCCGGAGTCCGTCGAGGAGCAAGGTGGAAATGTCCTCTTCGTGGTTCGAGAGGATCCGGACTAACGTGGTTTCCTCCCCAGTTTTTCGCGATATGATCCTCCATATCTTGGAGGTTCGTAGTCCCACTTCCTTCAGGGGGCAACTCTTCCATGGAGATCGATCGGTGCACTCCTTTGAGGACGCATGATTAGGAAAGGCGCTTACGTGTAGGTTGGGCTAGTTGCATTATAACTAATCGAAATACTTGAAATGGAAAGGACTCAAGATGATCACGGACTACAAGGTCTCGCCCATCATTAAGTATTTGATGAAGAAAGAGAGCGTTTTAGATGCGAGAAGCACTGATAATTGCTACATCATTAATAACTTAAAAACTTTGTATAAAATCCTAAACGATTGCACTTCTAGAATGATACGTAATTTGCAAGGAGTTAACTCATACTCATAGACTCCGAATAGTTTTTTTTAAATCAATTGATTTTAATGATAATTTCTATTATTTTATTCTTATTGATATTTAGTATTCTTCCTTTTTGATTTTCTAGAATATATATTTCATTGTTTTAAATTTAGTTTTATTTTGTGTTATAGAATTAATTTTGATTTCGCTTTTATTCTAGCCAATCAATTTGTATTTAAGGTAAACTATACTTGTTTTTGAAATTTAACAAAAATTGAATAATTTTTAGAATTTAAGTTTTAGTTTATAAGGAAATGATTAAAATTTGAATTATTGAGATTCAATTAATAATTACAATAAAAAAAATATTAAAAAAATGCACATATTTTAGCTTGAAAATTCCCTACAAATATATTAAAATCATCTCCATAAATTTTGGATTTTTGAATCAAATAATATCGAAATGAATATTCATTCCAAGCAAATATTTCTTCCATTCAATGAGTTTTATAAACTTCGAAATTAATGTTAACCTAATGGTACAAGCTCCAATTATTTTTTCACGAGTTACCAAAGATGTGCGAGGATTTGCATTGTTTTTGGTGAAACGCGATTTGTCAAGTTGTCTCTAGTTTCATTAGTTGTTGATATAAATCATCTGAATTGCTTGTTTGATTCCTTGGATGCAGCTCAAAATACACAACAAAATAAAAATATTATTAATTTTCAATTTTATCATTCTTCAGCCGAATGATTCTTCACAATATATTATTATTATTTCTTTCATTTCGAGAAGATTTACTTTTATTTGGTTTAATTTATAATTTCATCATTTTTATTATCATATTTATTGTGACATATCATTTTGTCGCATTAAATTTCCGTTTAGTCTCCCACAATCTAAATGTTTCTGATTTCCTGATTATTAATTAGTATTTAATTTATTATTATTTCAAATGTTTATTACACATAAAATCAAAGAAATTACATTACAATTACACTCTTCAATCGGAGTCACTTTCTCAATCACTTTCTACATGTTCTTTCTTGACTCGATTTATAATCATCACATTAAAACAGTAAAATTAAGTAATTTAGGAACTACTGAATTATGTGAATGGAACGGTGGGGATAACATCCATCTCAGAACTCCTTCCAATGGGCGATTGCCCTTTGCGAATCGGGTGCTAGAGCAAACGGTTTCGAGTTATCGGAAGCAACGTATGTGTTGACTTGACAATCGTACATTTCTTTATAGCCATATAAGCTTGGGCACATTTGCTGTTAATAAAAAAATCATTAATAAAGTCCAATTTAATATGCAAAATAGATAACTTACTTGAGTCAAAGGACTGGTGTTGGTAGTTAGAATTCCATTGAATTTCTTATTTTTTGCTACAATATTAACTTGATCTTCCATATATGTCATCACGGCAACGTTTTCTTTGGACGAAAGGGACAAACTGGTAGTCATCAAAAACGAATGTAAGACATTTCCCTTTCCGGTCAGCAATTTGTTATTCCTGACGGAACCTTCGATGGTTTTAAACAATTCGAAAATTAAAACCAGCTTGGAGGTTTTTTCCCACTCCGGTTCATCGTGCGCATCAAAGTTCAAAGAGACGCCGACAACTTTTCCCGTCACAGTGGAAATAGCCGCGAAACTGAGATTCTTTTCGACCAGCTGCGCCCAGACCTTGCCTATTAATTTTGAGTATTCGGATTCGTATATGTTTGGCTTGAGCCACTGCTCGAGATCGCCCTTTTGGTAAAAACTGGTGGAAACTATGCTAAAAATTATCAATGAATTAAATTAATATATTTGAATTAAGTGTTTCGTATAATTACTTCAAGACATCGTCTTTCATCCCATCATGCAAAAATTCCATCCTAAAGATTGGAGGCTCTGTTTTCGTTAGTGTGTTATCTTTGGATTGGTGCATCCTGTCCAGGACCTCGCCTAAGTCCATAGCGGCAATAAAATCACTAATGCTGATGTAATAGGAAGCTTCGTTAAGGCAAGTAATTGTGAAGATCGAGTTTAAAGAGTTGCCTCCGATTTCGTAGAAGTTGACGTTAATGCTGATGGTGGACCGCGCGGAACGACCTAACACAGAAGCTACGGTTTCGAAGAGTACTTTAGCAGCCGGCATTTTATCCCTCGTTACTCCTGAGTAATCAATTTCAGCCTCGAAGTGGGAGTCATCTGATGAAAGAAATATAAATTAGTTATGTTAATTGTCTTGTTGTTTGAGCACTTGCCATCCTTATTGGTATTTTCATAGCCTTTTAACAAGGATTGTTTGTCAATTTTTCCGCTGACCAAGAGCGGAATTGATTCCAATTGGATTACTTGCGGTACCATGTAACTTATTAAAACTTCTTTCAGCATGGATTCGATTTGGTTCTCGCTCATCGAAGCCTCCGTGGTGACGAAAGCTAATAAAGCTTGCTTCATCTCACCAGGTTTGTAGCATAGAGCCACGCATTTATCAACGCCCTCGATGGATGAGACGGCTTTTTCCACTTCGGATAGATCCACTCGATGGCCTCTGATCTTCACCTGCGAATCAGTTCTTCCTTCATACTGAAGACAGCCATTCTCGATGCGCGCAAAATCTCCTGTGCGGAACAACCTCGAAAACATCGGATCGATTGCCAATGGATTATCAATAAACTTCTCCGGGTCTCTGCCGTTTACATAACCTGCGGCTAAATTATAGCCAGATACGAAAAGCTCACCCACGTCCCCGGCTGTTACTGGCCTATAATTCCTATCTAACAGGTAGAGGATGGTATTGTCTACCGGCCCACCTATTGGCACCTTGGTCTCGTGCTTCAACTGACTCCTGCTTCCAATAACGTGAAAAGAAACGTCACCCATAATTTCAGTGCTTCCGTAAAAGTTGCACAGCTTGCGCTCAGAATTTTCGGGGAAGTACTTAAAAAAATCTTCTGCCAAAGATACCGAGAGGGTTTCACCAGAACACACCCATATCTTGAGATTGCTCAAAGCATTTTTATCCTTCTATAATTGATTGAATTTAATACAATTCAACTTTTAAAATCACTATAATAATTACCTTCAACTCGAGGAACATGAGCAATGATCTTAAAAGGGTTGGGACTAAGACCAGGCGTTCGATCTAAAATTAACAAATTTTAGTTTAATATTTATAATTTAAGTATTAATAGTTGTGATTAAGTACTTGATATTTTTCCAATAAGGCGACCATTTTTTCAGGATCATTAGTGTTTTCTTTCTTCACCACCAAAATGGATAGACCGTTGAGGAGCGGGCCCCATATTTCGGATACGCTGTCGACGAAGGTTAAGGCCGTCTTGAAGATGCCCACTTGCTCAGTTCTGCTATATGGGAAGGCCTTGAACTGCCATTGAAGTCTGTTAAGGAGCACGTTGTGTGGAAGACGAACGCCCTTGGGCACTCCCGTGCTTCCTGATGTGTATAGAACGATGGCCAAATCATCTTTTTCGAAAGTCAAACGATCCTCTAGGTTTTCCGAATCATACTTCTGAGATAAACAGAACAGTTCATTCGCAGAAAACGCAAATACAGCACCGAAGCTCTCGTCCTTATTCTCATAGATCACCAAAGCCGGCTTGGATTCCCGAAGAATGTGCTCGATGCGCGAATCAGGGAGGGTTATATCTAGAGGCAAGTAGGCAGCACCAGCTTTCCAAATTGCCAGAAGTACTGAGATTAATTTATCGCTCGGCTGCATGCAAATTGCCACTATATAATCTCCATCGGCATTGCGTGGAATCGACNCAACATAACTTACAGTTAATGTATACCTTCGAAAATCAACGCTGGTTCTTCCGCACTGCCGACTACTACCTCCTCGAACAATCTGCACAAGTTTGTCTCAGATTTCAGCGATCTGATCGGGCCCTTCAGTGTCGAAAGATGAGAAATCGATTCCATTTTCTACAGCGGAAACAGAAAAGTACAAGTAAAATAACAATAAAAAAAAAACAGTTAAGACTTTCCAACAAAAGTGACATATTTTCAGTCACGGAAGCCACCAATTATTCTCTGTGGAAGGCTACTAGGAAAATTAAGATAAGGCCCAAACATTTGACGAATATCTCAAGAAAGTCTTTCATCTATATCCATCAGAAATAATTCAAAAGAACAACGATTGAGAAATAGAAATGTTTCTCGTCTCGCTATTCCAGTTGTCCTTTCCTATTAGACCAATTACAAAGGAAGTTGTTATACTCATTAATAGCAAAATGCAATCCTAAGAACTGGACACTTTCTCTCTCAATGGAAATTAGCTCAAATCATCTTAATAACTTCTGAAGACATGAAATACTATTGGCCTATAAGTCTGCTTCCAATAATATCAAAAATGTTTGAAAAATTATTTATGAATAGGATCAAAATAGTCATCAAAATAGCAAATCACCAATTTGAATTTCATTGTCAACACGGCACCATTGATCAAGTTAATAGAATGGTAAATATAATAAGCAAGGACTTGGAAACAACGGCTGCAACGTTTGCCGATGATATAGCACTTGCAAGTAAACCTGAACCTAATACAGGAAATGCTACAAAAAATGGAGAATGAAGGTCAATGAATTGAAATCAGTACATATCAGCTTCACCGTGGTAAAGGTCTCCTGCCCACTAGTAACTCTTAACGGAAAAATAATACTGGCGACTAATAAAGTTCAATATCAGGGTACGCATCTAGATAGAAGATTGACCTTGAAAGATCACATCCAAGCAAAAAGAGAACAACTTGAAATTAAGTTCACGAAACTATACTGGCTATTATGGGAAGACACATTTTCGAAAGAAGTTGCTGATCTATAAAGTAATTTTAAAACCGGTCTGGACTTACGTAATACAGCTATGGGTAGTGAGCATCAGATCTAATATTGCGACAATACAAATATTCCAACCGAAGAGCCTAAAAAAGGAACATTGGTGCTCCATGGTATAATTCGTACAGAATAGTACAGGAAACAATTACAAAAAACAGTAGCCAATAACAAAATAAACTAGATTGATATTCAAACGTATTAGCTGTCAATATTCTGGACAATAGCCTAACAACATAGCGACTAAAGCGACTTAAACCATTACCATTGAGATTCAATAAATAGCCTATAAGTAAACGATAATCGCTATTAAAATCTATTCTATGTTCTTTAGAATAGTCGTGAATAAAAAAGACGCTAAAAAATGAAGGAGAAAAAACAAACATAATTATTGTCGTAGATTTCATTTCTTCTTCTTCAAATATTCAAATTTAGTCGAAACGTGTTTTTTAATTTTGGGTTATAATGGGAAACATGTAAATCGGTATTTCCACCGCTTGTTAAAATTATGTGTAATAAAGTAACGATTTTAAATACATTCATTTTAATGAAGTTTACAGCGTATATTTAAATATGTATTACACTTTTTAAAATAAGAGTTGTTGATAGGAAATAAATTATGAGAAATTTTATCTTCTATGCATTGTAATTATAGATAATTATGATTTTTATATGACAAAAACAAAGCTTAATACACCTTTTTAATTGATAATCACATTGTTAATTATTCTTCTTTATCATACTTAACTCAATTATTATTCAGTTGAATTAATAATTATCATTAAAAGATTAACACTAAAAGTAGGCTAGCAACACATTTCTCAATTATGTTCCTTATTTTAATGAACATTATTATTACTAGTCGATAGACATTTGGTTATAATTGTGGCCAACAAATGTATTAAAATAAAATATTGTTACAATATTTAAAATGTAACAAAAATATTAATAAAAAATATTCTTTATATAATTGAGTACAGCTGCAAATGGCTGTGATACTTTCCGCCTAGTTATAATTATATCCATCAAATTTTTAATTCTAATAGTGCTGAAATCTTATTTGAGTGTATTGGTTGAAATTTCGGAATTATTTTATGTGAATCTAAATGATCCGATGAAAAAAACTGTTGAATGAAGTGTTTGTATAAATAGTTACCTATTTGCATAACGTGAATTCTTACAAAAAAAAATGCTTATCTAATCGTTTTTATATTTCATGAATTTAAAGTTGTTTTTCTTTAAATAAAATAAATGAAATATTTCGATAAAAAAATAAATTCCAACGAATTTTTCAATAAAAAATAATTATTATTTCTCAAAGATATCATTGGAATATTTTTAATAATATTATTTTTTGTATCCAGAGTTTCTTCCTTCAACCAATCTGTTGAATAACAAAATAAATTTGAGAACATCGAATATCTTGAAAATGTTCGAAAAAAATAACTTAAATTGCAACGAATATTTCAATTTTATGTTAATATTTTGAAAGTCCACATCACATGAATTTATACAAAACATACTTATCTAATATTTTTTACGTAATTTTACATTTTAATAATAACGAGTTGTTTGTTTTTCTATAAAATAAATGATTATTATATTAATAATAGTACGTTGAAATGGCAAAATTAGTATAAAAAAATAAACTTGTAACTTCGAATTAAATATTTCGTATAGATCAGTTCGAAGTTATCTCAAAGATATCATTGAAAGTAGAATTTGATTATTATTATTTCATCATCAATATTATACTGCTATATATATTTGTATGTGTAAAAAACAAATTAAATTACTTAGTTAAGGTAATTTTAATGTTATCTAAATACAATAAAATATCTAAATTTATAATATAAATTTAATTTTCACACAATACACCAATTTCACAACGAATTCACAATAATCTGTAACTATTAATATTAATTAAAAGTAATTCCCTTAGATTTGTATTCCTCATACAGGTGGTATATAATATAAAATATATTTTATTTATTAATTCATAAAATAATTTTATATTATAAATTTATTTTAACATATAAAATGTAAATTTTATAGCAATTTTTTTTTAACTTTTGTATTGTAGAATATATTATGTTTACAAATTAATATATTAAAATCGCAGACATTGAAATGAGAAAACTATAGACATCTTTTACATAAATTATTATCGTTTCATTAGCATTTTCAAGATGGCTGCAAATGAACCGTATTCTATATGTCATGGAATATCCTGAAGCAAAGAAGTTATTCTTTTGCTTAGTCCTTGCTAACTTTTCTACTCAGATGACTTCCTTTTGACACGAATAAATTGTTGGCTCGATCTCGACGCTCACGGTAAAGAAACCCTCACAATTTTCGCAATCAACACAGAATATGTGAATGCGATTTTTTTTACAATTTTCTTTCAAGTAAAGAAGAACAAACATATTTGTATTTATTTTTTTTACTCTCATACTGTTCGTTTCTTGTTTTAATTTATGTCGCACAACAAAAAAAAAAGGGATAGAAACACGTTTTAGAATAATGGCGTAACCTTCTTTACAAGCCAACAAAATATTGTAAGCACAGATGAATGTATATGTATCTGGACGTGTATATGATCTGGATCAATTACCATTAATTGATTTATATAGTGATGTATATAGAATATTGTAATTTGTAACGAGGACTTACTGTCTGTTTACTGTTGTACTGCATCTGCTGTAATTGTTGATGCACAACAAGCGGTCAGGTACATTTATGTATAGGATGATTGCGTGGGTGGGAGCTTGGACCTCTTCCTATGTATGTGTAGTGGCTAGACTCGAGTAGGGAATAGTAGTTGGTAGGGATGTCGGACAAGCAAGTTAACCGCAGAATGTGCTTCTGTTTACGCTCTGTGCCAAATGAAAAACAATTAAAAAAAAACTAAAGTTGCAATTGTTCTAAATATATAGATGATAAACATGGAGAATAGGACGTCTAGTGTTCAGTGCGGATTCGCTATAGCTAAATAAAAATAAATTCTAAAAAAATAAAATTCAAGATTATGTTTTGTATATAAATTATCTTTTTTTCCATCTTACATATATTCATGTGTCTGTTTGTCATGTTCATTTTTATTTGGTTCCTTTTTAGAGCGGACGAGATTTTGCCGTAATAGATTACCCCCACTATCCAAGTTACATTGAAACTCCCATATTCGTCATTAATCCGTTCCTACAGGGGAAACGAATATTAAATAGGTCGAATATCAAACACATTTTTCCTATAAGAATATTGATTTCTTAAGACTGAGTTGGTCAACAAACGATCAGTTGACACCCATGTCAGTGGTGGGAAATGGGACGAATATTTGAGTTTCACTGTATTTATTTATTTTTTAAGAATAGTTTTTTTTTTATTTGTTCATAATTCGGATTTATTTTCATTTTATATTGCACTATTATTAATAATATTGAACATAATTTATTGCAACAAATGTAGCAAATAAAATCTAAATAAAAGTAAATACATATATAATTATTAACAACCAAAAGGTACTTCTGGTTGAAAGAAAATAAAAATACATAACAAAAATAAGTTGCAAAAAAAAATATAGATTTTTTCGTAAATATGTTATATTTCTTTATAAGTTATAAGTCTTAATATAATTTATTTATTAATACTTTATCACTAATTTACTAATTACATTATTATTAAAAAAATATATTTATAACCATTTTAGCACTTGTTTTTCTTTATAATTAAATAATATAGACCATATGTTTAGACATATCTCAGGCTTTCGATAGGGTGTGGCATGAAGGGCTGCTATACAAAATTAAGAAGTGCCTTCCCCACGTATACTATTCCTTAAATCATACTTAACGGGGAGGCACTTTCAGGTCAAACACAATGACGAAATAACTACTCTACGACCGATCAGCTCTGGAGTCCCTCAGGGAAGCGTTTCGGGCCCCTTGCTATATCTCGTTTTCACGGCGGACTTGCCTACAACTCAGCCGAGGGCTGAGCAAAATAGCAAAGGCTAGCACAAGATACCATAATCGGCTAGAGAATAACCCAAACCAACTGGCTACTGAGCTGATGCATACTGCAGATCGTCGTCGAAGACTGAAGAGGTTTAAACCGCAAGATTTACCAAACCGATTTTAATTATTGATTATTAATGTGTGCACGTGCATAAATAATTATTGTATATGTGAAGGGGGTTGCTGGATCATCTCTTCATTAATTATTAATATAGTGTCCTTTTTTTTAAATTTACTTTTACCACATTCATATGGCTTGATATCTACGTCAGATGATAGATTGCTTTAAAAATATTAAAAAAAAAGTTTGTCTATATTAACGTTTTCTAAAGAGTATATCCCGAGTAGATTCTAATCACTAATGCTCGGATAGAGTTGCAATAATGTATTTTTCATTTTTCTTGTCTGTATAATTATTTATGAAATAAATGGTTCTATCTCTATTTACTACTCATTACATTATTTCTAAGAAGAAACAGTACAATATTCTTGAATCATTTTACGAAATCGTTAATTGGAGTAAATTAAACCTACACAACTCATGTTACTTTTGCTGTGACATTTGTTCTTAAATTTCTTATTAATAGTAAGAAATTTCAAACTAAGTATTTATAATTACTAGGTAGAACTACGCATTGACAAATTCTAAAATTATCGCTTTTAACTAACGCAAAAAAACACCTTCCTGATAATTATTGGTTTCTAATCATTGTAAACTTGCTTTTAGTTGGAAAAATTCTGTTACAAATACCATTTTATTTTCAAATAATGTTATGTCGCATTTTTTTACCACAAGACTAGACATTTTATATGAAGAAAAATGGATTTAAATGCGTCCTAGAGTCTTTTATTGAATAATACATTTTTTTATTTGAATTTTAAATCTACCTAAAACTAAAATCAAAAGGATATGTTGTTAGCCTAGTTTTGAGACCTAAATCCGAAGAATAGTTTATTTATCTGATATCAGCTAAATAAGCTAAATTTGAAACTGCAGTGTTAAGAAACTCACATTATTCAGGAGTTCGTATTAATGCTGGCACTGTAAAGTAAATCTTGGAAACTTTGTCATTTTTTAACACTATTACATTGTATACGGGAATTGTATATATCTTAGACTGAATAACTTAAAATCATTGAATTTGAAATTCAACGTTATTTACCGGTATTCTCTGAATAAGAAGAATGTATGAAATGGATGCATCCTGATGAACTACAGGATGATTTTTTGGAGCTGCGAAATAAGTCCTCATCGCATAAAATATTAGTTGCCATTTGATTCTACTTAACTCTGCAAAAGTGGATTTTCAACTCTTCTGCAGATCAAGACAAAATTCAGAAATAAGCTGCCTTCAACAACAGATGCAAGTTCAATGTATTCTCTGGAAGAAAAACCTCGATAGCCCTTTGATTATACTGTTTGATTAATAAATATGTTAAAATAAATAAAAATATATTATACAAATGTTAACCATAAAAACAAAAAAAATATTTCCAAACTTGAAAAAAATGTATTTATCTTGAAAAAGTTTAAGTAAAATAATTTTCTGAAGAAGCATGAACTTATTAATTCTATAGGATGTAACGTTGTAATGCTGGTAGAAGATAAGAAGTACAATGTTCACTCAGCGATCGCGGGGAGTATAGATCGAACCTTCGAGCGGCCTCTAGAGTCATTCAAGATGATTCCAAGGCCAACCGTGAGAGAAAAAACTTGTTGCTCCAAGAAGACGGGGTTTTGGCAGTCAAAAAACTGTATACTCTTATTATAATTATTGGTTCTGCTGGTACATCATAATCCTAAACTCTTAATTAATATCTCTAAATCTAGGTCAGTTACACAAAACTTATTATTTTCCCTATAATTTTTCATAAAAAAAGTCTGAGAAACATGGGTGAAATGTAATACCGATATTCATTTCTTATCATTTTCATCTCACTACAAAGATGGTCAAAGGCAAGACATACAATTTTTGTTTACAGTAAATGTTAAATATTTTTAATAATAAACGGTTTACAGACTTGTTCAAATTATCGTTATCTCAACGACAGATATATCATCTTCGGACAATAGTTTTAGTAATGGCGAATTAATTCAACTGAAGAGATTCTACTTATCTTCTTGTATATTTCTAAATTATAGACAATTGAGCGTCGAACATCAATAATAAAATCAATTGTGATTATTTGTTGAAGAAAAAAGTTATCAATATAATTGGGTAACATAGCCATTATGTAATGTACAACTTATTTATTGGGCCGCATAAGCATAGCATAAAATAATTAAAATATAAAAATGTGAAAAAAATAATAATAACAGAACATAATAAGATAAAATATAATAAAGATATATGGAATGAAAAAGAATAACATGAAAAGTAAAATAATTAATACAGATAATAATGATCAAATAGAAAAAAATAAAACATTAATAAAATAGCACATAATAATTTCATCCCTTGTTGATAATGTAATGCTGGCGGTTCCTTAACGCCTATATTGCACGTCGTGATCAAGTTTCTCAAATCGTTTGGCTTCCCGACCAAATGCACACCACCATTCGGCGCCTTCCTCTGCGATTTCGATGACATCTTCATCGCTCTGTGGCCATGGTAGGCCTTGTAGAATCATTCGCCTCTCTGCGCTGCTTCTCCTGGTGTTGTGCAAAGGGCAGCGGAATCAGCAATGCAGGATTGTGTACTCTTCTTCGCCACAGGCACAATCCGATGTCTCTGTTTGTTTGAATCGCTTTCGGTAGTATCCGAAAATGCCATGCCCCGTGATCAGTTGTACCGCCGGGTGAGGTAGCTCGACCTTATTCCTCAGCCATTCCGCGATGGACGGGATAAATTCTCTGGTCCAAACACCAGTCTCAGAGCTGCTCCACCTTCTCTGCCAAGCTTCGGCCGAGTGCCAAGAGATTAGCGACTTGAGGGTTCCCATGGAATACTTGGCGTAGTTAGTGGTAGGAAGACTAGTCGCTTACATCTCGGATTCATCAACGCCAGATGCAGGTCTAAGCAGTTGGTCTGCCCTCTCCTTACCTTCATTTCCGACGTACGCCTTTATCCAGTGAAATGCTAGCTGGACCAGTCTCCCTGCTAACTGTTTAACTAGCTCCCGGGTCTCGTGCTCGAGCTCCGTGAGAACCTCGGTACGTCTGAGTGCCTCCAAAGCTGCTCTGCTATCGGACAAGATCGAGTAGCTCTTGTCCTCGGTGGATGTGCCCAGCACATATCACAGAGCTTCTTTAATAGCAAGCAGTTCTGCCTGGAAGACGGTACAGAAGTCGGCTAGTTTTAGTTTTTGATGGAGAATCTCCCTGCTACGACAAAAGCAGCTCCAACGCCCTTATCACATTTCAATCTGTCTGTATATATTCTTCTGGTGTGGGCGGCTTCCTCACCTATATGGAATGTCAGACAGATCGAATCTACTGGGTGGATATTGCCTTGGGTGATTTTTGTCGACTCGATCTCTGTATTTCTGATGATGTGACCCGAAATCGCAATGAACTCCTCCTCGCCTAGTGTCCTAGACCGTCGACGCTGGGCGATCTCCACCATCCGGATGTCCACCGGAAGCAGTCCGGCTAAAACCATCGCCGCTTCCGTGGGCACAGCTCTGTAGGCCTTGGTCGCACTCAAGGCACCTATCCTTTGTGCGCTAAGTAGCCTCTGCCTTTCCCTCGTCCGGCACCGATCCTGCCAGATGGCTGAGGCATACAGAAGGCCGGCTCAATTA